ACATGGTTACATTTAATTACTTTGAATATAGCGGATAAAAAACTATATGTATTGCAGAGATTTTCTTGTCCTATTGATTATGCCTTTTTTCTTTCTCTATTGATAAATTTTAGAACGAAAAATTTTACTTTATCTTAATTAACTAGATTCCTAAATACGAACGTAGAAAACATAAAATTTCAATTAGTCTTTTATCTGGATAATATCATTTTATTAAGACTTATTGATTTATCTTCACTAGAAGAGAAGAAGAATCAAAACAAGACTATAAACTAAAATTCTTTCAACATTAAAAAAAGACTGTCAATATTAGAGATAAAATTGGAAATGGATGTAAAAAAATTGATGATTCTTCTTTTGTAAATGATTTTTTTTACATAAATTTTAACTGTATTGAAAACAAAACAAAAAAAAACAACTATTTCCTTAAAAAATGCATTACAATAAGTTCTAGAAATATTTATAAATCGGCCGACTCCTATTCGAATTATCAGTCTCTTATATTTCCTTAATTCTAATACTTTATAACTCTACTCTGTATTCCAATTTAATAAAGAATGAATAGAGTAAAATTGTTAATCCATTAATAAATTTTGATTAAAATGATTATGAAGGAAATACTTCAGTATAATATAAGTCTATATTTATTAATTATTTAATTATACATACCGGGATATATTTTAGTTGACTGATCATGTTTACTCAGGCGTGCACAGCTACTTCATATAAATATATACGTTTATTAGTTTATTCTAGAAAAGAAATAAGAAGCCAATATATGTTTGTATATATGTCACAGGTGATCTTTAAATATTTTAAACTCAACTAGTTGTCTTTAAAATATTTAAAGTTAACTTCGACATATATATATATGATTATTGATTTATTGTAGAAAAAAGATTATAAAAAAATGTATATATATTTCTCGATCGATTGTAAAAAAAACAAATAAAAGAAATGCCTATGCTTATTTATTTATTTTAGAAAGGAAGGCATTCAAAAATATACATATATATACACATTGATTTGTTGTAGAAAACACATTTAAAAAATGTCAGTATATTTGTTGATTTATTATAGAAAATACATTTTAAAAATGCCGATATGTTTGTTGATTTATTGTAGAAAACAGATAAAAAACGACATATATATGTATGTTTATTGATCAATTAAGGAAAGCCAATAAAAAAATATGTCTATATTTATAGACTATTGTAGAGAACAAGAAACATATGTATGGATATGTCTATTGATCTACTCTAGAAAACAAATAAAAAAATATACATCTATGTTTATTCGTTTATGGTAGAAAAGAAAGAAATAAAAAAATATGTTTATTGATTAATAGTAGAAAAAAAATTCAAATACATACATATATGTATATATGTTTATAGATTTATTAAAGAAAAAAAAATAAAAAAAAAATATATGTGATTATTGATTTATTATAGAAAAGAAAAAAAACACAAAATTATTATCTCTTTTCACCTACTACTAAAATATATTTTAAACAATATGTTGAAATAATTTCTATCTTTGACTTGTAGAAACTAGAGAAAGATATATTTTAATTTGAACGTATAACTCAATGAGTGTGAAATAATTAGGGGTGTTACTTTATTTTTATGTTTCGTTGTAATAAAGAATAAACTAAAGTAAATCTTTATATTTATAAAATAAAGATAAAGATAATCTTTATTTTTAAAAATAAAATTAAAATAAAGAATAAAGAATGACTTTTGTAAATTGCAACAAAATAAAGAAACCACTGTTATTAACAGTAGACGGTGTCAATTAAAAAAATATTTTATACTGTAGTATTTTTTGTCCAAAACAAGCCGTAATACACAATCAGTAAAGTGTCGGAAAAAATGTTTATAGTCGTATTTATTGTTTTAGAATGGGTGAATGTTTAATGGAATTATTATTTGCTATCGATATGATTCTTCTGAGACTGACTCTTATACTAATATCCGTTTGTGATATTCTTTAAGACTTTTAAAATACGTATCATATATTGTTGTGTACCCTGGGTAAGAAAAATACAGATCATATAGATATCACTGCATTCGTATGTTGACAAAACCTGATGAAAAAATTCTTTTTTATTATTCTCTATTTTGAGTAGTGAAATTTTTGTTTTCGAATAAATATGATACAAAATAGTGTTGTTTTACGAAACAGCATTTTCTTTTTGCTAGTTCATTAATAAAATCTTTTTTTCTTATTCAATGATAAACCGTTGACTATCACGAATATAAGAAAAGAAAGAGTCTTTTAAATGTATATGTTCCTAAATATCATTTTATTGTTTTAATAACATCAGATACCGTAAGGTGGTTGTTGACAATGATGCTCGTTGCTTTCTATCAATATCACCTGCAACTGAAAAAGCTGATTCAGAAGCAGCTAATGTTGATGGTGCTCAATTATATCGCGGTGCATAAGATGCTAAAGTCGGAAGACGAGTTTTATTTGCGTCCCAATATGTTTGAAAATATTTGGAAGATATACTTGTAGATGTGGATATATATAAACTAAATTCTTGTTTTAAAGTAAATGGTTTTGCTTTTTGTTTTTGTTTTGGTGCAGTTTCAGCATCAGCTGACGACGAACGGCATAGCATTCGAAATCCATTAATTGTTGATAATTTCGATGGTTTGGATGAATTGATTGATGAAGATGATGACGATGCTGATTGTGATTGTACATGTTCTGATGAAATGGTTGTTATTGATTTTTTTGAATTAGAAATATCATTTGTTTAATGCATCAACATTGATTCAGGTTCATTTATTCCTTCAACGGATATATCTGAAAGTGTGAGCGGATCCAGATATGCAACAACCTATAATAAAGAAAGCTACATTTTACTCAATTTAAATGGGCTTTTCTCAGTTATTTCACACAAAACCAAAACATTAGATGTAACGAAAAATATATATATATATTTCCGTTATTGACAAATGGAGAGGCACATTAAATATCTTTGATCCCATTGTGGGCATGCTGTTTATTCGACTGTACACTGCATCCAAATGTAACAATCTAATACACAACATGAGCTTATATATGAGAGAGAGAGATGGAAGAAAAGAGAGAGAATAGATGGTACAATACAAAAGGGAGAAGGAAAAGAGGAAAGATATAACAGAATATTCCACATTACAAGATTGGTCAATAGTTGTTGTTGAAAGGACGTCCATCTTCTTATGTCAACCTTGTTGGTCCAATGACATTGAGAAGATGTGCCTATTAGAGTCGTATGACGCAATAACGATTAACGTACAATCGTATCGTTTACATATGAAGGACACATTTGTATACACGAGTAGAATAAGAGACGATGACAAGAAAGATGATGAGACCAAGGAGAGAACAAATACAGAAGAGCAATGGAATAAGAACATATAGATAAGAGCAATATGTATCATATACTAGAGTATTGTCACATATACAAGATTTTGGAGATGCCACCACATCTCCCGTGGGAGATGCTGCGTCTTCAGCGGGAGACGCGACACCCACACTCGAGAGATCGAGTCATTCACCACTGGAGATGTAAGATCTCCTTTAGAGATGCGCATTCCCCACACTCACACCCATATCTCTCGCGCGAGATGCGGCATCTCCCGCGGGAGACGTGGTGGCCTCTCCAAAATCTTGGATATGTGACACTGCTGGGTTATTTGCTTTGATCTTTTCTTCATTACTATCAGGATTAACTGCTGCATCAAGACCAATTTGTCGACGTAGCATATCTTGGAACTGGCTTCGAGTATTCCGTAACTGGATTCGTCTGTAGGTTATACCAAACGGTGAAAACGCTATATCAAGATAGATCTCAACGAGATCTATCGAATCCACTATTTACTTTTTCCCAGGACCTCCGCTTCATGGAAAAATCCCCAAAATACTGATCAAAAAATAAGCAAAACAACAAGCATTTTCCGTATAGCGAATTACAATTCCCCTATAGGTTATACCAAAACGAGAAAATACTATACCAAGATAGAACTCGACGAGCTCTATCGAATGGACACCTTTCCGACTCGATATAATGCTTGGATCTCCTCTGAAATGGCAAATCTTGGTCTGAACTTGGTTTTCGCCGTATTTCGCACCTGGATTCGCCTATAGGTTATACCAAAACGAGAAAATGGTATACCAAGATAGAACTCGTCAAGCTCTATCGAATGGACCCATTTCTGGCTCGATTTGACCTTTGGATCTCTTTCACTATGGCAAATCTCGCTCAGGATCCGGATTTTCTCAGTATCTGGCATCTGGATCCGTCGACAGGTTATACCAAAAACTGAAAATGGTATATCAAAATAGAACTCGCCAAGCTCTATCGAATGGACTCCTTCCGGCTCCATTCGACCTTTGGATTCCCTCCGAAACGGCAAATCGAAATCTCAATCTAAAACTCTTCAAAGAAAAAACAAAATTAAGTCTTAAAATAATTCAAAGAAATCTTGAACACCCACAACCACCACCCACCCACACCCCACACCCACACCCACATCCACACTCCACACCTACACTCACACCCACATTCTCACATCCACACCCACACCCCACATCCACACCCCACACTCACACCTACACCCACATACTCACACGAACACACCCACATCCGCGCTCACACCTTACACCCACAGCCCACGCTCACACCCTCATTGTTCATTTAAACAAGAATACATCGCACCAAGAACTCTTTCACCGGTGATAGAACCACAGCCGCAGCTTTGAAAAGAAAAACAACATAGCTCACACGTACACATTACAACCTTCAACATCAGCTGTCGATCGTTTATTTGAAAAATTCTTTCTTATTCTTCATGAGAAGCAAAATGAGTTCATTAGAAGAGTACAGAAAAATCTATTTGTACTACCAAATGTCGTAATAAGAGTATCAAAATCTGGAAAAAATACTGATGAGAATCATCGTACTTTTTTAAATGAAGTTTTCTGTCCTTTGGTTGGTAGAAAATTTCTTCGTTTCCTCGATTTATGGAAATTAGAAGCTGACTTAAACAAATTAAAGGCAGTATTTTCAAATTAAAACAGTCTACTATCGATTGTTCCTGAATGATCAACTGTTTATATTGAGCCGCAAGATCTTTATTTCGTTCATGGAAGTATATTCATGAAAAAATATAGCATTAGCCTCAGATCAATCAAACAAAAATGGTCATCAGCGATCGTCAATACTTGATTAATATGCATTCTCTTATGCGTGATCAGTTATCAGCTTCACAGTTTAAAAACCTGATTAAACATCGATTCATACAAGCTCGTATAGTCAACGGAACCATTGGTCAAATTGAGGAACTAGAAGATGTTTTTTTCAAGTTGTATGTTCTCTATTGTTCGATCAACAATTGCAATAACCAAACTTTATGAAACTGTGCTTGGTGCAGAAAGTACTTTTGATACCAACAGTTGATTGAAGATCTTCATCTACATTTGTAATGTATCTCTTGAATTAGTATGTTATTAAATCTAACATTTTCAGTTGAAATTAAATTCAAACCATTGGTCAGCTAAATTTCTATTAGCATGTGGATGTGAGTGTGAGCTTGAGGTGTGACTATAGAAAAAAGTCACATACCTACATATCTGTCGATATCATTAGAAAGAGAAGCTACATTCTATATTCGACCCATCTCTCACGCATTATCAAGTGTAACAACCGAGCATAATGTGTAAGTTGTTGCTTCTCCTCGATTGAAACAAGTGCGATGCGCTTCTCTATCTATTATCTATCTACACTTCTATTACTAGTTTGTCCTCCCATGTCCTTGAAATCGGGAAAAAATCAGCGATTTATCGCGATTTATCGAAACGATAATCGTGCACTAAATCACGATTAATCGCCGATTTTTTACGATAATTTCAGCGATTTTTACGATAACTCGCGATTTATCACCGATTTTTTATATATCAGCCGTGGTATTATCGTTGATCGTACCTCATATAATCACGATTAATCGCCGTTCTTTTACGATAATTTCAGCAATTTTTACGATAAATAGCGATTTATTTACCGATTTTTCATATAACAACCGTGGTATTATCGTCGATCGTACCTCATATAATCCCGACGAATCAGCGATTTTGCTTTAGATCGACTACATGTATTCATTTTTTTTTAATTAGCTTTTATTTAGAAAAAAATAGAAGTAGAAATCAGAGAGGGAAATCAGATCAATTACAATTGGTACAATAAATATAACAAAATAATATCTCATGCAAAGTTTTTCAATAAGAATATTAATTAGAAATGTTCATGTGTTTCTGCATTGTTGATATTTTGTGGAATTGATGGTGGTAAAGATGGTAATTGATTTTCATTATTATTATCACCAATATTGTCACCTATAAAAATGAATCATTGAAATATATATTAGGATTTGGAAAGACATACCCGGTTTAGCACGTGTTGCTATTTTTTTTTGTATTTCGTCGTCGTGATTTAATACACTCAAGCATTGGTTCCCAAACAGTCATCGTCAGATGATATACCATAAGACTCAACCTTATTTAAGATATTTGAGGCTGCTTGTTTTTTTTTCAAACGTTGCTGTAGTAGTCGGCTTGCTCGACTAGTACATGGTATTTGAGAGTTAAACATCTAAAAAAATAAACTATTTTGATGAGATAAATGAAATATATATGTTATGACCTAAATTAGAATTCAGCCTAATTAAGACTTCGTCCAGACGAAATTACAATGCTAATTTGGACTAGACGAAATTGAAATAATTTCTCAATGAATGAGAATAGGTAAAGAAAGGCATAATTAAAGTACCAACAACTACTTTATTTTACAAATTTTTTAACAAATATTATATAAATCTTAAGTTTATTCAAGTTCATATTACATAGAGCAGAAACAACTTGTACGATTTTAGTTATTTTATGAAAATCATCAATAGCTCCTCTGTAAACACTACTCAAAATAGCATTGGTTTTGAGACGTTGGTTAATATTCTCGATAGCCGTTCTTGTGGTACTAACATTAAATGTAATAATTCAATTTCATTTATCTTATTATGACTGTAGTTGTGAAGCCAAAATCTGATGTATTTATATTTCTTTTTTGTATAATTATAAATTTAATTTTGTTTATTTAATAAAAAAAATATACACCTGAATAAAAAAAAAAAAGTTCGATTAACCACGATTAATTCCGATTAATCACGATCAATTCCGATTAATCAAACTGATTTTTCCCGATATAACAATTAATCGATTCTCTTGTATATATCGCGATAAAATCTGATTTTATCGCCGATTTCTTAAGCAAATACGATTAATCACGATTTTACGCCTGTTTTTTTCCGATAATCGGCAAAATTGCCCCGATTTTCACGACATGGGCTTGTCTCGTGCATAATAGAGATAGCCGCAATACCCTTTCCTGTTCGTTCTTCTTCTATTTGTACTTTGGAATGTCACGCTTAATGTATCCTCGCCTCGTACATAGTTTTATCCATAAAAGGAATAACCACGACATCTTTTCTATCCGCTACGCCTATCTCTCGTACCTGTACTTTGGAACCATACTCTCGACGTGTCGTTCTTTCATAGTGTTAACCAAAATCGTTCTAACCTTTGTATTTGTCCTTAAACCCATATTTTTCTGTATTGTGTTTACTGTATTCTTCAAGGTCCTTCTATGCTAAGAAATAGTATATAAGGAGCGGGAAAAATACAGTAGACACACGATTGTACTTACACTAATAAAGTATTAGGATAACAGCTCTCGAGCTGCGTCTACTCTATCTAAAAACGTCACATGAAGTTCACTGATGTATTTTTTGGTATTACTATGAAAAAATAGAGAAGAACAACGAGTATGAAGAACGTTCCCAGTGAAAAATATTTCGAAAAAAAATGAACCAGAATGGTTTCATAAAAATATGGGTACCTTTTTCCTATGTAAAGAATGCGTTCATGTTCAAGAAGAAACACTCTCAGTCTGAAGGAACTCGTTCTTTGCTGTTCCATAATAAGACGGGATGCTTTCTTTTCTATTGAGAAATTGTTCTCTATTTGAAGGGAAGGCATTCCGAACCATTCTTAAACCGATAGAACCCATTCTAGTTCATTCTCTTTCGAAACGGTACAGATAGCACTCCATCGAAATAAGATTGTTTTCTTTTATGTTCTCTAGAGAAGCATTAAAAGAATGAATTCTTCTAAGTGATAAATACTTTCTTTTGGAATTAAACTATATTTCGATTCAAAAATCAAAGATCTGAAGCAAAGCAGGTTGAAACTGATGTGAGAAATGGTGGAACCTTCGGTTAGTTGTTCTTTGGGGATGCTAGGTCTGATTTAGAAAAAACATGATTTTAATAACGGTTTGAGTTACAACGATTTGGAGCACGCCATTCAATCAAGTTCGTCGAGTTACCCCCGAAATGGTCTCTTGACGAATTACAGATTCATCCATTAATGATCAGCCGTATGATCAAGAAAGCTACCTTCTGTCAAGAAGAGAAAGCATTCCAAAAGTGATAGAATGCGTTCTAGATCGTTCCATTTTAGAATGCTTCCCATTTTTTTTCGGAACGTTTTCTTTTCTTAAAAAAAGAGCTTTAAATTTTTTGGAACGCATTCTCAACCGTTATTTTTAGAAATATTTTTCACTGGGGTTAAGGTACTTTTTTATTATAATACTTGTTTGATAAATGATGACATCACACTTATTAATATTTTATTAGAATAAAATAAAATAAAATAATTGTTAGCAAAATGAGAAAATATTTTAGCAAAAAGAAACTACTAAGATTCTAAAATATTGAATTGCCAATTAATTCTTATTGTTTAGCCAGCAATTTATGTTTATTGTGAGCTAGAATAAAAAGACAACATAATTGATTTTATATCATACAAATATTTTAAAGTAACAACATGAAACATGTGCACTAATCGATGGTTGACTACCATTTACTATAGATTGTCATCTACACATTCATTCCTACATAATATATACATTTGTAGATAATTCAACAATTATGATCAATTCTGGTGACCAAATTGGCATTTTTCAAATTAGGGATTCTGTTTCCAATATAAGATATGCCATACATATCATAACTGAATACCATCTTCGATCGTGCTGACAAACTTTTAACATTGAAATCAAGTACTGTAGCGACAACCATAGCATAGGTGGATACAGTCTAGTCACCAGAAATTATTTATATTCATTCTCTCTATTTACTAACGTATATATTTAAAATTCATATTTCATTTCTTGTGTGAAATCGAAGTGTCTGTACAGCACATTTTTTGAAAATAATCTTCTCTATGTTACTGCATACGATGCAAGGAAGATAAATATCACTTAACGAGATATACCTCTATACTCTTCTTTGAGTTTTTCTCTGTTGAAAACATTGAGAAATTGTCTATAAATGATTTCTTTTTAGTTCTAGTTACGAGTATCTTAGAGAATGAAAGAATTTTCATATTTAGTTTATTTGTTTGTCGATCCTCTCTTTTTAATTTGTTATTTGTTAATAAATATTCTTGTAACGATGTAGCTATATAAACTTTATATATGATGTTATATGGGCAACATTTAACGAATGAAAATTAGTTTTTTGTATTAGTTTCAATGATTTAACTGTTTCTTTTTTACGAGACTATTTGTTTCAGTTTTTTTTTTCATATGAAAATTTGCGAGTTTGACAACCAAAAATATAGGTTTATTTCTTTTCTTAAAGATTTCAGTTTGCTCGGATTTTTTCTGTCTTTATCGTAATACTGACATACTTACTATTCAATTATGATTTGTATGAAATATCTTACATTTAAGGCAAAAGTCCTAAATTAAAATCCCTATTTGGTTATCAGAACTGATCATAATTATTGAATTATTCACCCATGTGGATATGTAGTAGCGATCACAATTTTTAGTAAATAATAGATATTCCCATAGATAATAAGGTTTTCCTTTTTATCTTACTAGGTTATTTTGGGTTCTTTTGATAGTAATAGTTTCAATGAGAATTGATTAAGATTAATCTATGGCTATTTTTTCTGTAAAATCTTGAAAAAAAAAATAAAATTATATGGTTGTTTTATTCTTTATATAAAACAAAACAAAATTACCTCGTGTCGATTATGAAAGGCAAGTTTAAGTAAATGAAGTTCTTCACAAAGTACTTCATATCGATAAGCTATTCGCATATTCGGTACATTTGTAAGACGAATATTATTACCAGAAACACCAGGTTCTTTATATTGTTGTCCAAGCCAAGCTTTTTTAATCTGAATCATAAAAAAATGAATTTGAAGAAAGATCATATAAACTTGTAATATCTTACTTGATCCGAGTGACCACTCATTAAAACCGAATTTCGTGCTAATTCACACATATCAATCGATGATAATCTCCATATTTGAGCGGCAATTGAATATTCTTCCATTAATGGTTCCTAAAAATTTTCTATCATCTTTATGACTATTTGTTCTTTGCGAGATAAACAAGTTAACTCAATACATATGGAAGATTCGATTCGGACGCATTTCAAGTTTTATCCCTAACATGAAATGCAGAGTTTTGTTAGATTCTTGGTGGTTATCATATGAATTTAAAGCATGCTTGTTAGTTCAGTTGTTTTCATCATCAGAAGAAAAAACAAAAAACAAAACTATTTGATTTTTCATGAATGAAACTATGCGACAATGCTATTAAATTGGACAGATAAGACAATCCTAGTCGAACATCTTGTAAACAAGGTACAGAAATATTAACAGATCTTGAATTAGACCTTGAGTAGAGATATGTAAGATCTTGGTTAGAAATTTATAGAATCTTGGGTACATATTCTGATTAAATGTGTTTCATATATCGCGATTTGTGACACAATACGTGATGCGTATATTGTGAAACCATGATTCGAACCTATCATATAGCGCATTCATTATTTTTTTCAACAAAACCGTATTATGACATTTCAATTTGCTTTTTTTATTTTAACTATTCCTATTGTACATAATTGAAGCAAGTCAGATCTTGAAATCTGACTGTCCTTGATATGGCTTTATCGTCATCAAGCTGCTTCAGGCGTCTTCTATCGATGATTGATGATGATCAGCATGTTCTCGAATAATCAACACTCGAGAAATACTTTTAAAAAAATTATTTGCATGTTCAATCACGCTGTTTATACATGAATCTGTACGCGTAAGAAAACGGTGAATGACGAGTCAGTATGTAAACACTAATGATGTCGCTCTTTTACTGAAGATCTTATGAGAAGGTAATAGTAAATGATATCTTCTCCATGATCTCGACAAGATTTTAGATATCGATGTATCCGATGCATTCAACATGTTTTACATACACAGTATCTTTTTAAGATCTTGCTTATAAAATGTTCGATTAGGAAATCCTATGTATTAAATGCGAACTTGAAATTATGATTTTAAAGAAATTGCTCATAATCAATAAATTCAATCAGAAAATTTCGAAAAATATTATAACCTTAGTAAAATGAAATTGTAGTGGATCATCTGTTGATAATGAAACACAAAGACCACGTTGAAAATATTCCAAAAATGGATTTTGATTGTAACTAAGAAATAATGAATTATTACTTAATGGTGACATAGCTATACCAATTTGACATAAAAAATATAAATATTGTAATACAGATGACTAATATAAATATCAAAATATAATCATTTCAATATTGTAAAAAACAAAAACAAAACAAAATACTTGGCGTAAAACAAGACCATGAGAAATATTTTCTGCAAGGATATATGCTGCAGAAAGATGTGATACATCACCAGCTTCACCACAATGTGGACGAAATTGATACGTATTTAAACCACGTGATCTAAAAATAATAAAGAACTTTTTATTTCATATAAAAAAGAATTTATTCGATTTTTAACCTTCGAAGTTGATTAAGTGTAAGAATATTTGCATACATATAAAACTAGAAAATATTCAAAAAATAAAGAAAAACAAAATATTATTAGAAATTTTATACTAAATAATAAGCATAAGGTGGATTTTCATTTGTATTCCATTGATCCGGACACACCGCATTACTTGCAATTAGCAATTTTTCAGGTTTTGATTCATCATCAACTGAATCAAAGCCAGTGAAAAAAATCATAAAACGGAATAAATCTGGATGTGATTCAGGATTGATAGTTGCATCAAATAATGGTTGAAAAAGATTTGTTAAAAGTTCTTGAAAATTTTTTATTTTGCCGCTTGCATGATGAACATTACTAAAAAAAGAATTTAAATCTTTATTTTTCTTCTAAACTGTAAACATTTTTTTATTAATAAAACATACAAAATACGTGGTATTTGTATCATATAACTAGCATTAGTTGAATGCATTTTATTTTTTAAAAACCATGTAGCTAATTTATCCCATTCATCGATACTTTTACCTAGAATTGACAAACGCAGTTCTGCGTGTTGATATTTACTCACTTCTAAATTAGCGTTAACTTCCTTGAAAAAGAAAAAATATAGATAACTTTTGTTTTTGTTTGTGCAAAGAGAAAGAGAATGTAATACTTGTAATAGTTCAGCAAAAAATACACCATCAATATAATTATCAGTTTTCATAAAAATTTCTCTACAAAAACAAAATCAAATCTTAATAGATAAAATAAATAGAATTATCCAGTTTACCGTAACATCATATTGCCAACAGGATTATAATTTGCATTGAAACGATCGAAACGTTGAAATGTATTTCGATCCTAAGAAAGATAAGTTCTTTTTTATTATTATTATCATTCTAGACACAAGGAAATTGCTTCAAAGAGTTTCTTTTGTCTATAGATGACAAATTTTCTTGTTATTTTTCCTGATGAAACTTTTAAATAGACTAAATCAATTCATTCTATTCGTTTAAGAACACATTTGAAACATTGATTACTAAAGTTTTTCGTGAAAAAAGAGTTCCAAAGATAATAATTACTTATTAACTATCTTACTTTTTGTTGTTTATTATCATTTCATAGACTCAATAATGATTGAATGATGTCTTTATCTATAATGTAGAATGTTGTCATCACTATACAGACACATTATTTACGCTATGAAAGAAAAAAACAAACAAACATGCTTTAAACAGTTTTTTATTGTTTACCATTGATAACAAATCTATGCTGGATTGAGATTTGCATACTCAGATAATACGAATAAATATAGCTTAAATTTGAACAGTTTTAAGCTTATGAACTAATAATGCATAGTAAAAAAATGTCTTCATAGGAATTCGCAAGGAGTCTTTCAAAACTAGCTTATATTATAAAGTCAATGGCACCATTAAATCTCTACAGGAACTCTATTTTTTTAAATATATTAGCTTCATTACTACTTAACATGTATACATAAAGCAAAATCATCGAATAATTTTGTAACACAAACACAAAACTAATCTTTGATATAAATAATCACGGACTATAAAAAGAAGGCTACGATTTTAATGATCAGTATTAGAATTAGCAGCATTGAACTGCAAAATGGTCACTTTATTGTATGCAATTAGCAGTAACTACGTTTTATATTAGTAAAAAACAGAAATTCGGTCAGTAAAAAATAAAAACTTTATCAGTAGAAATTTTTTTTCATCAAAATAAAGAATAGTTTAGCATAAAGGAAATAATTTTAAAAAATACCACATGAAAAAAAAGAAATGCCAAGATAACATTAAATAGACATTTAAAGAATGAAAGAAGATGAAAATTAAATTATTATAAAGTGCACGCAATTCAGACTTTCCGTAAAATTTTCTTTCTATGTTTTTTTTTTACATCATCTGATAGCGCTTGAGCTGCTGACAAGGAAAACAAAATACTTTTTAGCTTTAGCAAATGCTTCCTTCCGGTCGAATAATACGAAATACTCAAGAAATGTAGATTTTCGAAAAAACCCATCCTTTATCGAAATGTGCAAAACTTTGTACTTTATTCTTTGTTTTTGCTTCTGGAAATAGTTTTTTCAGATTCAGCATAAAAAACGGAATAGAAAAAAGTTCTTAAATCGACTCTAAACTCAAAACTCTATTGGTGGTGACACTTCAAATCGGATCCAGTGCACCACATATTGGTCAATTTCGTAAACGTATCTGGTTTTTGTACATAATTGATAAAGTCAAATATTTTATGTCATTGAACCCATCATATCATCAAACAAAAACTTACGTATCCTTCTTTTTTCTTTCATTTCCTTTCCTATCTTGAGAAAACCGATTTTTATTTATATCAAAGATACCTTAGGCGGTATTCAACGGTTTTTGAATTCAAATAAGATTTTTAGTTACAAACTAAATAAAGATTCGGAATCAATAGAAAAACCAAGACAAATGATGTATCTTTCAAAGAAATACGGTACCTTTCATTTTTTGACCTATATACAAAAATTCTTGTCCTCTGACAATACCTGAAAAGTCAGAAAAATTGAACGTTATCGAAAAGAAAGAAAAAAAATGAATCATACTATAACGCATATTAATTTCTATAATTGCCCTTTGATTTATTTAACTGTTAATAAACTTTATTTACTGACTGTTAAATTTATTAACAAACCTAATTCATCACTAACTGACCATTCACTCAATTTCCTGATTTTGTATTTATTTCACTTACTGACCAAATATTTTGTTCCCAAAAACAAAAACTAGCATTTTCATTTAGATAATCCTTAGTCAAAGTCTTAATGAATCATCTTTCCTAGTTGAAAATTTTCCATTATTTACTTACAGCATGAACACCAAGTATATCAGTATCTATATCATTAATATCGAGTTTTAATTCATCAAAAACTTCTTTTAATGTCAAAATAGTTCCATCTGGTTTCTTATAAACTTTCATATCACTTGATACTTCCATTTTTTTCTTCATAAAATTTAATAAACTTTTTTGATGCATTGCTGCTGCTGCATGAATGTGTGTATCAACTTTTCGAACATTATAAAAATCTCTATGTGATGCGTCTTTAGCTTCGGACCATTCTTTAACTTCATTAAGTAAAGTATGTAGTTCATGTTTCGTTTTAAGATATTGTAAACGACGATGACAAAAAGATTGTAATGGACCATCATTAATCATTTTTGATACAAGTGTAAAATCCTCAATGAACTCATCATGACTTATGGATTTGTATTTAGCTGGTATCCATTGTTTTTGTTCATTAAGGATATAAACATTATATATACCTTTTTCTATTTTGACACAAGCGTCGATAGGTGGAAGTAGTGAATTAGAAGGTCGAAGTAGTGGATTACTAAATAGATTTTCAACCATTATAGCTGGTGTACAACATGGATCAGATTCTTCTAAATAAGGAAAGTCTTTATAATAACATATTCAAGTTTTTGGTTGAAAGATATTTCCAATAAGTTTCATTAAAAAATTGTTCTTTTTTTTTGTATAAAATTCAAAAGTAAAAAGAAAAACAAAAATCAATATTAAAGTTCTATTTGCCATTAGTTTCATGAATATTATTAAATGCAAGTTGTTTTATTTCATCTATTGAATGTACAGATTCATCAATTTGTTCAAATAATAGTTCATTATTAACCCCTTGGAGACAGACGACGTATATTTACATTCAGCTTCAAATCAACTCATAACTAATTTGCGTATCTCTTACGATGCTTTCATGATCTCTGCTAGCAGATAATCCTAGTCAAACAGCTTATAAGCAAGATCTTGGGTACAGAGTCATAAGATCTTAGGTATAGATCCGTAAGATCTTGAGTACATACAACGATAAAAAAGAGTCGCATGTATTGGATTTGCAACACAATCCATGATAGAATCTGAAAGCGTGACTCAAACCTATCATACAGCGCATTTATTTTTCTTTTTCTGTACAAGCATGTTATAAAACTTTTTCAATTTATCTTTATTTTAATTGTTTCTATTCCAAATAACTGAAGCAAGCTCGATCTTGGAACCTGTCTGTTCTTGAGATGGTTCAATCTCCATCAGACGGCTTCAGGTAGTCCTCTTTCGATCAGCGATCGAGATCAGTAATTTCTCGAATGATTAATAGTCGAGAAAGAGTATAGAAAAAAAATATTTTGAAAAATATATGTTTCGTATGTGCAATCACGTTGTTTATATACAGCTCTGTATGCATAAAAAAAACCGGTGAATGACTAGTCAGTATGTAATCAATAAACGAATGATGTCGCTTTTTGTTTTTTTCAAGATCTTGTGAGAAGATAATAGTCAATGATATCCTTTCCATGATCTTAACAAGATCTTAAGCATAGATTTATCTGATACACCCAAGATATACAAATACAAATTATCTTGTCAAGATCTTCTCAAGATCTTGCTTACAAAGATGTTCGACTAGGGAAAGGCACCAGCAGGTCGACCCAGCACTGGAAATAATCTTGTTAGACTTATTGTTCGCTATTTTCCATCACTTTTACCTTTAACATAGACCAAATAAAATCCTTAAAGAAAAAGTGTTATTTGTGCGAAAACAACAAGAACTACAAAGAGCACTGACATCAGATACGAATCTACTGAATTTGATATCTGACTTTGTATTTCTGGTTATTTTCAAGATTGTCATACTCGAAAATACTTAGATGGTTTTTATTATCGATATAAATAAATACACTCGGTCAGGGGTTCAAAACTGCCCTGCATTTTCTTTGAGAAAACCATCCTCAAGGGGCTAAATAAAAACGAGATATCATTAAATAAAAATATATGCTTCAATAAATAAAAGAATATATGTAAGTAGCAAGAGAGAAAGTAAGGAGCAATGCTATGAAATAAAGAAAAATAAAATGACTAATAGATACCAACCTTTTTTGGGTAGATTGATATTTAATGATGTATTTTGTAATTGATCATCTTCTTCTAAAATTTGAGCTAAAAAAGATTCAATCGTTGATGAATATGATTGAAGGCTGTGGTGCATATATCTTTTATAAAAGTAAAAACTGAAGTTTAATATTTAAAAATAATCTAAATCATACTTTTGACGAATAGCTAAAGCACGAATTAATGGACTTACAGAATCTTCTAAATGTTCAATAAATAATGTATCATAAAGATCAGCAGTTATTTTCATTATTTTAAAAGTATTAAATAAGTCTTGTTTAGTGTGACTTAGTACATTTGTTGCAAATGACGTTGCAGGCACAGTTTCAAATGTTTTATCCATTTGATCTATTGAATAGATTGTTGTTGTAATTTGATGTTCTTCATCAGAACCTTGATTGCTACTCGTCCTATGAACAAAATTTTAGTTGCTAAGAATACAAAAGAAAACTCCTTAACTGAAGTTCATTAGATAATGAACTACTTTTTACAGTTAGTTGTTCTATTTTGGATGTTTCCAAAGCAGGAGACTTATTATAAGAAACATTAGAACAGTTGTTAGGTTCATGAAGTACATTGTCAGCAGATGGAATCGTCTGTTTTAATACTGAAAGAGATATTTTAAGTTTTATTGGCAAAAAAAAAACTAAAAATTAATTAAAATATTACTTTGCTCTGATTGTTCTTTTTGTGATGATTGTGTATCAACAGCTTTCACGACATTGGTACGTTTTTCTTGTTTCTGTTTCTTAGTAGAAACGGGTGCCGATGAATTTATAATTTTAATGCGTTTGTTCAAATTAGAAGAATTTGTGCCCATTTTTATTACTTATCTCGAAAAGAAAAAGAAAAAGAAAACTAGCACTATTGATGTAAAATCATATTTGATATGATACACCCCAAAAATATTTTAGCAAATCAAATTGTGTATTAAATAGGCAAAAACGATTGACAGTATATGACCTAACAAAAATATGTATGATAAAACGAGTGAAATAAAAAGAAAGAGAAAAATTTATAGCTTTTTGAAGGGTTTAGGGTAGGGTGTAGTGTAGTGGCTATGGTTGTAAGTGAGAATGAACAGAAGTACAACATTCACAGGCACATCCATTCACATCTACGCATCCAACATAAATCAAAAGCACATGATTCCCAATGAATTCTGTACCAGCCGAAAATAATCTTAGAAAATACAAAAAAATTCCTCTATCCTCTCCAGGATTTTCTATAAAAGCCTTTCCAACAATCCTCATACTCTTCAATGGCTACCCTTTGAAAACATTTTTTACTTCTTCAAAGATATTTTGATGTAAATTGGGTTACAATGCTAAGCTGATTCTATCAAGATATAAATCATTGAACTCGGCTCTCATTTCCATGTCTTTTTCACTAATGTTTAGCAAAATAGGGTCTGATGTCTTACAGATAGACTAATATGATGTAAATCTGAAGCTGACACCAATACAGGTTGATTATGTTACTTCTCTCGATTTCGAAACTTACACTTTTTTTTTGATAAATCACTCACGAGATACTTGGAAATGAAAAGGGAGTACTTCTCATAAATCCTTAGACTGCATTTATGCAAGGTTATAGACTAAAGTGTAGTCTTTAAAATTGGATAGGCGTACAAAAAATGAGGACTTATTTTTTAGAAGAGAACCAAGGTCAATGATCGACTTTTTGACGAAAAATTGATTTTGTTATAGCTAGCTACTCTGCACGAACGCTTCGCTCCAGAGAACCGAAAATTTCATAGTAGTTAGGCAACATTGACTTCTGTTTCCGTTGAAAACTATAGGTCTCTGTCATTCTCTAATTTAGAGACATGAGTATTGAAAATCGGTCAAAACATCCGCTTTTCCTCAACTCACGGAAAACATAAAATACCAAGCACTTAAATGTTTGAAGTGAAACGTATGGTGCATGCAAAGGTTAGTTAGTTATTGATGCATAAGAGTTTCAGCTCGAATGATTGCTACTCTGCTGATTTTTCCAGGGTTTCAAAATCGTTCCTCGTAAAAATCTGTTTTATAATGCTTTCAGTGGAAGTGCAATAAAAAATGAATGGCTCAATATCTTTTCAATCAACTCTTATGCAAATTCATCAAACATTTGTCTCTTTTACATACGTGAAAAAAAGGCAAGTCGAAAAATTCTAATCGAGCGCTGTCATAGAAAATTGACTGCTAATCTTATATAGACTGGCTTATATTTCATATATTGAGATTTTTATACCAATACTTGTGACATTAACAAGATTCAATCAATATCCAAATACTTACAAGTAACGTTCGTCGGTTCGACTCACTTGATCCTCGACTGTTTAAAACAGAAGTATACTCCGCATGTGAATATCGAAAGAATTGATCTACCAGCGTTATTACAATAACTGATTCAAATTTCGATTTCTTGAACCATAAAGGTTGAAGAAACTGATCGGTCTCCTTGAAAATTAGTTTAGGCTAAACCTTGCTTTTCAGAAAGAGATGGTAAAACTAGCAATTATTTATCCAAGTGCACTTTAACTAATAAACATCGGCAGCAAAAAGAAATATTATACTGTTGCATACTATGAACATCATGAAATAAGCTAATTTTAGTTGATAGTATATGCTCATACAGTAATTAAAAAACTTGATACTAAAAGTCTTTTGTTTACCAGCAACACATGATTTTAAATGACTCATTGGTAGTAATGAGAATGTGACGGAATAGGAAAGCATAAATAACTATTCAATATCATTTTTTATGTGATAAAAAAAACAAAAACTATAGCATAAAAATTCATCCATGAGAACTACCAAAACAAGTTTCATCCATGGAAATCTAGCTATAAAACAGCTGATTAAGAAAGTACTGATCACATATATTGGATTAACTGAGTTTTCAGTTTGAAAAATCGAATTGGTGAAAAGCTCAATATTAAAAGCACGAGCATCGAATGCATAGCCAAGATTTTTTTAATGACGTTTCATCTTTCACTTAGACTAAAACAAGCAAAAATTTATTTTATTTCATATAACTCTTCCTACACTCGAGGAAATATTATTATTTTCTCAAGAAAATTTTTTTCCTTGACCCAAAAAACTCAATTCAAAATTTTGACAATCTGACTTCAGAGTCGGATTCTCCGACCTCGGTTTACTTTCGTCAACCTTTAGAGAAAAGAACTTTAAATGGATGTTTTTTTTGACTCCGATGCAGACACACAGACATACACAATCCATTTTTTTTTCATATGACCCTCCCTACAATCGAGGGAATTATTGTTCTAGTTATACATTGCAAAAAAATTCCTAGAATAATCATACATAATACTTTCTGAAAGTCCTCCTAAACTCGTAAAAGGTTTTTCAATGGAAGGATTTCTGAAACCAAGAATACTCTAAAATAAAAAATGTGTAATTATTTGTTACTTTATATTCATCGTAACTAAATATCGAAAGCTGCACTGAACAGCGATTCGCGACATCTATTTCATCTGACAGAGTTTTTCTTCATATAAGAACGACTAACTTAAAAAAGTGTTAGTGTCATGGTCTACCATTGTCCTTATTTCCTAAGGAAGAGCGAATTTGATCTGATACAAATTAAGCTCCACTGAACGTTTAGATTGTTATACAATCTATTTGACAAACAAAACTTATTTCTGAATCGACAGTTGAATCAGTTCGAATTTGCTCTTCTTTAGAAGAACATGGACAGTTTTAAACTGTGACATCAACGTTCTATTAGTCGGCTGTTTTCATATGAGGAGGAACACTGTCAGGGAAAATCGATAACCGTGAAAATCGATCTAGATGATAAATCAGTTTCATACATATTTCCTAAACTCCCAAACGAATACTTGAAAGTACAACGTATTATAAACCTTGAAAGGTCATTGATTACCCAAACCATTTATTAAACCCTTGAATAGGCTTTAGGAAAATTTTCTATACAGTGAAAGATTTAATCACATGTTGAACTTTACAAAACTCTTTTACGAATTACAATTCTATAGACTTTCTAAATTAGTGTATACACTCTCATTTCTACGATATGCACTACAACTTTCATCTGAGAGATAGAAGAAAAAAAACATACTTGACCGACTCGATAAATATAAGGATGATGACATAGGAAAGACGTACTATTCTTGCATTGACGCACAGAATACATAGGAAAACCATCATCTTAAAGACAGAGAAAAACGGAAAGAAACAATGCCACTATATATATTGGGTATACTATCAACTTTCGACAAGCAAATAAAAGAGAAAAACAGGATAGATTATATTTAGGATATTACATTATTGTAATGTCATTTATTCTTGCTTTCTCTCAAGTGCTATGTAATTGGGATATCGACCAACAAATACGAAGAACCCTCGAAAAACACACCAACAAGAAATGAATAAGCCTTGAAGATTAACATAAAAGCAAAACGCAGAAAAAGGAAGCTAAAGACAGAATGCAAACAAGAGAGAAACAGAAGATAAAAGAAACCACTCTAGAAACTGAGATACTCTGATTATAATAGACAAGAATAGTCTATCTACTAATCAACGATACATGTTGGACACATAAGAAAGATAAGTATGAATAATAACAGCTACCAGGTCCTATGTTAGTAAAAAGAAGCCAGTAGAATACTAGGTGTGATAAAATAGACGATACTTATGCTAAATGCTACACTACAGACTTAGTTGTAACGAACTTGCGAGTGTCTATGATAGCAAAGACAGAAGAGAACGTTATCGAGACGAGAGAAAATAACACATGAAACTAATGAGCGAACAGTAAATAAAGCAATAGTGCGGAGTTCAAGAAGGCACAATACATGAATATTGTGATAAATGAAAATATCAAAAAGAAAAACGCGACTAACTAGAGTCGCAGCAACAAGCGGAAGTTTAATATTGAAAACACACAAAAGAAAGATTGAAAAAATAACTAAAACAATTTTGGTGAAAATAGAACATCAAATGAGTTTAATCATAAATCAACTATTGATTTATTTGTTAATGCATATAATGTTTTTTATTATTTAATTTAATTTTATATAATCTTTTTATATAGCTATATGGACAATCATATGTCTAGCTGTATGAATAAATGTATGTACGAAAAAATGTAATGTTTATATTGTTAAACATGTGACTTGTATAATATTATTTGGCTACAAATTGTTTGCTAAGTAAAAATATTACAATGTTAAGTTGACTTTTGCTAAGTAAAATGTCTATTTGCTCTATTAGAGGATTCCGTGTACCTTCTCGATGTTCGTTTATTTCGAGATATCGACGCGAGAACAACAACAGAACAGAACAGAACCACGTGAGCGACAAGAGAGAGAGCATATATAGAAGGGATAAGCGTCAAAGAATGAATAAACAGATGCCGATGAGTCAGGAATAAACATATGACTGTAACATGCTCAGTAAAAAAATTTAATGCTAAGTAAAAATATTGAACGCTCAGTCAATAATAAAGTTCTCAGTAAAAAAGATGTTTGCTAAGTTTGATAAATAATCTCTGAGTAAAAATATTTTTTGTTAAGTTAATAAATCGAAATTATACTAAAAAGATTAAATCGCTCAGTAAAATTTATAACTACTAAGTAATTTCGAAGAAAGGCAAAGTACCATAATCTGAGATAAGAAGAATTTTTTATGGAGGTATAGTGCATACATTTTCCCTCTTGCTGTGCTTCTGTCAACATTAAACTAGCTTCTTGACATATGCATATTCCACTTATAGTTTCTTTCACTCTGAGGTTATGCGTGAATAGGTGCACGTTTTCTTCGAAGATGCTCTGGTACACATATTTTTTCT